ATAAAGCAGAGGGGATACAGTCGTGTCTCAGTGTTGTGGGTTCCCGGGTGCTGTGATAAAGCAGAGGGGATGCAGTCGTGTCTCAGTGTTGTGGGTTCCCGGGTGCTGTGTCAAAGCAGAGGGGATGCAGTCGTGTCTCAGTGTTGCGGGTTCCCAGGTGCTGTGACATAGCAGAGGGGATGCAGTCCTGTCTCAGTGTTGCGGGTTCCCAGGTGCTGTGACATAGCAGAGGGGATGCAGTCCTGTCTCAGTGTTGCGGGTTCCCAGGTGCTATGTTATAGCAGAGGAGATGCAGTCGTGTCTCAGTGTTGTGGGTTCCCGGGTGCTGTGATATAGCAGAGGGGATACAGTCGTGTCTCAGTGTTGCGGGTTCCCGGGTGCTGTGATAAAGCAGAGGAGATGCAGTCGTGTCTCAGTGTTGTGGGTTCCCAGGTGCTGTGATAAAGCAGAGGAGATACAGTCGTGTCTCAGTGTTGTGGGTTCCCGGGTGCTGTGATAAAGCAGAGGGGATGCAGTCGTGTCTCAGTGTTGTGGGTTCCCAGGTGCTGTGACATAGCAGAGGGGATACAGTCGTGTCTCAGTGTTGCGGGTTCCCGGGTGCTGTGATAAAGCAGAGGAGATGCAGTCGTGTCTCAGTGTTGTGGGTTCCCAGGTGCTGTGATAAAGCAGAGGAGATACAGTCGTGTCTCAGTGTTGTGGGTTCCCGGGTGCTGTGATAAAGCAGAGGGGATGCAGTCGTGTCTCAGTGTTGCGGGTTCCCGGGTGCTGTGATAAAGCAGAGGGGATGCAGTCGTGTCTCAGTGTTGCGGGTTCCCAAGTGCTGTGACAAAGCAGAGGGGATGCAGTCGTGTCTCAGTGTTGCGGGTTCCCGGGTGCTGTGATAAAGCAGAGGGGATGCAGTCATGTCTCAGTGTTGCGGGTTCCCGGGTGCTGTGATAAAGCAGAGGGGATGCAGTCGTGTCTCAGTGTTGTGGGTTCCCGGGTGCTGTGACATAGCAGAGGGGATGTAGTCGTGTCTCAGTGTTGCGGGTTCCCAAGTGCTGTGACAAAGCAGAGGGGATACAGTCATGTCTCAGTGTTGCGGGTTCCCGGGTGCTGTGATAAAGCAGAGGGGATGTAGTCGTGTCTCAGTGTTGCGGGTTCCCAAGTGCTGTGACAAAGCAGAGGGGATGCAGTCGTGTCTCAGTGTTGTGGGTTCCCGGGTGCTGTGATAAAGCAGAGGGGATGTAGTCGTGTCTCAGTGTTGTGGGTTCCCGGGTGCTGTGATAAAGCAGAGGGGATGCAGTCGTGTCTCAGTGTTGCGGGTTCCCAAGTGCTGTGACAAAGCAGAGGGGATACAGTCGTGTCTCAGTGTTGCGGGTTCCCGGGTGCTGTGACGTAGCAGAGGGGATACAGTCGTGTCTCAGTGTTGTGGGTTCCCAAGTGCTGTGACAAAGCAGAGGGGATGTAGTCGTGTCTCAGTGTTGCGGGTTCCCGGGTGCTGTGATAAAGCAGAGGGGATGCAGTTGTGTCTCAGTGTTGCGGGTTCCCAAGTGCTGTGACAAAGCAGAGGGGATGCAGTCGTGTCTCAGTGTTGCGGGTTCCCAGGTGCTGTGATAAAGCAGAGGGGATACAGTCGTGTCTCAGTGTTGCGGGTTCCCGGGTGCTGTTATAAAGCAGAGGGGATACAGTCGTGTCTCAGTGTTGCGGGTTCCCAAGTGCTGTGACAAAGCAGAGGGGATGCAGTCGTGTCTCAGTGTTGCGGGTTCCCAGGTGCTCTGATAAAGCAGAGGGGATGCAGTCGTGTCTCAGTGTTGCGGGTTCCCAGGTGCTCTGATAAAGCAGAGGGGATGCAGTCGTGTCTCAGTGTTGCGGGTTCCCAGGTGCTGTGATAAAGCAGAGGGGATGTACTCGTGTCTCAGTGTTGTGGGTTCCTGGGTGCTGTGACATAGCAGAGGGGATACAGTCGTGTCTCAGGGCGGGGTGTGTGTGTGTGTTTCCTGGGTGCTGTGTTGTGATATAACAGAGGGGCTGCAGTCATGATTCAGTGCTGGGGTTTCCCAGGTGCTGTGATATAGCAGATGGGATGCCATTTTGTCTCAGTGCTGGGGGTTCCCGAGTGCCAGGCTGTGATAAAGCAGAGGGGATGTAGTCGTGTCTCAGTGTTGCGGGTTCCCGGGTGCTGTGACAAAGCAGAGGGGATGTAGTCGTGTCTCAGTGTTGCGGGTTCCCGGGTGCTGTGATAAAGCAGAGGGGATACAGTCGTGTCTCAGTGTTGCGGGTTCCCGGGTGCTGTGATAAAGCAGAGGGGATGTAGTCGTGTCTCAGTGTTGCGGGTTCCCGGGTGCTGTGACATAGCAGAGGGGATACAGTCGTGTCTCAGTGTTGCGGGTTCCCGGGTGCTGTGACATAGCAGAGGGGATGTAGTCGTGTCTCAGTGTTGCGGGTTCCCGATTGCTGTGATAAAGCAGAGGGGATGCAGTCGTGTCTCAGTGTTGTGGGTTCCCGGGTGCTGTGATAAAGCAGAGGGGATACAGTCGTGTCTCAGTGTTGCGGGTTCCCGGGTGCTGTGACATAGCAGAGGGGATACAGTCGTGTCTCAGTGTTGCGGGTTCCCGATTGCTGTGATAAAGCAGAGGGGATGTAGTCGTGTCTCAGTGTTGCGGGTTCCCGGGTGCTGTGACATAGCAGAGGGGATGTAGTCGTGTCTCAGTGTTGCGGGTTCCCGGGTGCTGTGACATAGCAGAGGGTCCGCAGTCGTGTCTCAGTGCTGGGGATTCCTGGGACCTGTGACATAGCAGAGGGGATGTAGGTATATCTCAGTGCTCAGGGTTCCTGGGTATTACGATATAGCAGAAGGGAAGCAGTCGTGTCTCAGTGCTGGAGGCTCCTGGGTCTTGTTATTCAGTATAACCAAGCGAAAATAGTGGAACGTCGCTCTGTTACTTTCATGCCCTGTTCCTCAGTGAACGGCGCGTGCTCAATGCTCCCTGCGTTGTCACTGGCAGAATTTCATCCACGAGCTCTTTATGTCTGTGGCGGCTGACGTGGTCAGGAATGCTGCAGCTGTGCGGTTGAGGATGTCACAGCCTGCCTGCAGAGCTGCTTTCCCTGTGCATGAGCTGACGTGAGCCGTGCAGCCAGAGCCTTCCTCCTGCCGGAGACCCAAATTGCTGCCGCAGCATATGAGCTGGTGCCTAATTTCATTCCCTCCCCTCTGCCAGGCTGGGGTGCTGCTGCTCTGAAGCCAGAGGATTAATAACGGTTATTCTAGTCATTAATAGGGCTGGGCAAACGGTGTCAGAATGTCTGGGGGAATCTTTCCTTTTGAGAGCCGAGCAAGGGGCTTACACACAGCCTGTGTAGCCAGCTTTCCAGCCCGGGGGAGGGGAGGGGCCCACAGGACTCTGCCCTGATCTGATTGTAACGTGCTTGGAAAGTGTTTGCTGCAGACCCATCTTTGGCTTGACCACAGCAGGCAGCCTGCAGCTGCTGTCTGATAAAGGACATGGACCCAGATCCTCCAAGTTAGGTGATTTCAATGGGAGTTGGGCATCTAAATTCCTTTGGGGATCTGGCCCATAGCTCTTTGAATAATGGCACTAGGCTGGGACCCAGGAGATCTGGATTCTGCTTTTTGCTCTGCTGCTGAGCTCCTTTGTGATCTGGGGGAAGTCATGTGCCCTCTCCGCCGTCACCTGGCCTGTCTCTTTGGGCCCTCAGCTCTTGGGTAAGGACTGTTCTGTGCGCCTGGACAATGAGCAGCATGGAGCCCCGCCCCACACATCAGCCCCAGTGCCGTGAAAGCTGGCCCTGCTCTCAGGGCCCCTATTGGCAGGGAGAGGAGAAAACAGGAGCAGCGTCCTCCCTTCCGGAACCCAGCCCACGAGGGACCCACTGCCACACCCAGCCCCTCCTTCCAGACACAGGGTGATTTTCCAAACCTAGGAAGTAACCCCAAACCATTTCTCAGCCCACCCTGCTGTCAGCGCCCCAGGGATTTCCCCCTGTGCTCTCTGTCACTCCTGCAGGATCTGCCTTGCTGTGTTAACTGAGCACCATCTCCCACCGCAGCTGCCCACGGCCCCTGTTGCAGGGGACTCCCTGCTGCTCCAGCTCTTCCATCCTGACATCTGGCTCTTCCTAGGGACACCTGTCCCCTCCTCAGCTGCATCTGCTTAATGAGCAGGGCTGGCTGGGAGTTGGGGGGTGGAGGCCACTTTACATCCACTGTGACACTTCCAGGCTTACCCAAGGGACACAGGGTTTATCGCTCCTGCCTTCTTATAGCACGAGGGAGCCTGGTCTGTGCCCACCGGGGGAAACTTGCCCCAACCTACCAGCTGCTGGCAATACAAGCGCCCCGCTCCGGGCTCCACAAGCCCTGCTCTTTCCCTCTGCAGGCTGGTGATTTGCACCCCCCAGCCCTCAGATCCCCAAACCAAGTAGTTGGGGCAGAGCAAAGAGAATTTAGGGCTAAATCTCTGGAGATTACTAGCCCTAGCATTCTGCTCTGCCCCAGGGCACAGCTCCTTCCAACCTGTCTGTGCACCTCACAGCATTACACTCGCGTGCCCAGCCCCTAGGCCTCTGGACCCCCACAGAGCACAGGGATTTGTTGCCTCCATGGAATCAGTGCCCTTCGGTTTACGAGCTTCAGCTCAGTTCAGCTCTCCTTAGCATGCCACGCCTAGGCGTCATCGTGCTGCCCTGCAGTGCCCCAGAGAGTGAGAACCAGCCCCAGGGCAGACCGCTAAGAACCAGGGCACAGACCCCACATTGGCCGGAGTTCTGTACTTAGATTTCACCTACCAGTTACCAAGTGTAAACACCTCAGGCACCATAACAGCCTAAACATGGAGTCACAGACAGTCCTCCTGGAGGGCGCTGATCTGTCTCGCTACCCTTTGTGATAGATCACAGCAATATTCAGGTGATTCCCAGTCCCAAAGGACCAGCCCCTTACTCCAGGTCGATTGCACCTTAGATCTCACACCACACACAAGGCTTGTTGCCAATCCTGTAATAAACTATCAACAGATTTATTAATAGGAAAAGGAAACAAAAGTTATTTCCAAGGTTAAAGCCGGTAACACACACACAAATTAATTACAATCTGATGTTTCAAAAGGTAACAGAAGCTTCTATAACAAGGAAGCTTTATGTGTCCTTCAGGGCTAACCCAGGCTAAGCAGCTGGGGATCCCTTGCTTATGCCTAGAAGCTTTGCCCTGAAGACTCCAATCAGCGCAGAGATCCAGTTCCTCCTTGTTTGGGGTTTTTAGTGCCTTCCCCCCTTCTTCTCTGAGCTGCCAACTCAGCTGATGGGAGGAATTCACTTGCACATCTCCTCTTAATGGGGTGGGGGCGGGGGTGAGTCAAGAATGACGACGTTTGTCCTCTTTAATGTTCCACTCTAGTCCCTGCATAGTTGCGGGGCCTCCCTTGTGGGGCAGGACAGAAAACCCGCTGGAGACCAGCCCTGCACACTCTCTCCTGCCTGGTGATTTCCATATGGGCGGACGACGTGAGCGCTCCAACATCGCCTTACACTGTGGGGTACGGATGTGATAAGTGAGATTAATGCGCGTGCAGCAGCTCACGGCATTCTATCACGTGTGCACACCAAACACGTTCTTGGAATTCTGACCCCGACTGTAACAACTCGAACACACTGGTTCCAGCTCTGTACCCGTCAGAGGCTCCTTGGGGACCTTGGCATGGGCTGGCACCTGCTCTGCCAGCATCACAGTCATGTCTATAGCAAACCCAGAGAGAAGTTTATTTGTGTGAGGCGCTGCGTCCATGCAAAGGTGCCCCCCTGGCCAAACGGGGGTGGGGGTCATGACTCCGGCTCACTCAGCTCAGCAGGGCTTTCAGGCCACCCCTGGTGTCCATGAATCTGGAAACCCCCTCTGTTCTTGGGTCTGCTTGCGGGGAGAGGGAGGGAACCCAGGCCCGCCCACTCCACGGGGTTCCAGCTCGGCCCTCAGGCTAGCCAAGGGGAGTCACAGAGTTTGCCCTGAGCTCCTTCCTACCTTCCCCGGGGCCTCTGGAGGCGCTTCAGTCTGTTGGCCTCTTTGCCCCCTGCCGGGTGTTGTCCCTGGGCAGGCGGCTGTCTAGCAATCAGCTGACCGGAGATCCTTTCTCCTGCTTGCTCACTCCTCTGGTAGCCACCTTGCCTCGCCCTTCTGCTTCCCAGCCCTTTCACCCTGCCAGCTGCTAGACGGGCGGTCCGCCGTGGCAGGCAGGGCTGTATTAACCTTTTGGTTGCTGGGCTAGCATGGGATATGTACACCTCAGGACAATTTGACAAAGCTTCAAGTAGAAATTCAGGTAGAAGCTGGTGTGAGGATTGAAAACGTGGTCACAGATGAAAGAAAAAAATCTAGAGGCTATATTTAGTCCCAAGCTCTTTGCCTGTGTAATAAGGATTTCTCACTCAAAGGTCAGGGCATCCAGAGAGCGGGGATCCGTTTCCATGAGACACACATCCTCCTCTTCTTGCAGTTGCGTCTGTTTTCATAACCAGGGCGTTTCATTAACTTCACCCCCATGGTCCCACCTAGTCAGGATCCTTTTGTGCTTTGTCCAGACCCTCGCACACTCTGTCTAGACTGTCAGCTCTCGGCTGCGCTGGGTCAAAAGAAGAGAGCTGTTCTCCCTCTGAGAAGCACCCCGCCGCATTTCAGCTCCAGTGGCTTTAGAATACAATATTCTACATGCTACAGAACTTTCCATACCTATTTCCAGCAGTAACTGTGACAACAGTGAGTCCTTAGCCTACGGCAGAGACCACTTGCAGCCCCTCCTGGGAAATCTCATGAAGATGCTGAACACAGGGGAAACGTGCCCATCTGAGCATGTCTAGTCCAGTCTCTGGGTAGAGACTTGTAAATGTGTACTCCCGTCTGCTGCCAAAATGGGACAGGCAATCCTGCTTCCTGGGGCTGGAGAAGGAGCCACGTGGCACCAGGACAGCTGCTGCAGGGACACATAGCCAGAGGGTCTGAGCTCTGGGCTGGGGGACAGCAGATCAGCCAGAGCCTAGAGGGAAGGAGGGCCCTGATCAGTGGCGGAGGAGCTGATGCTGTGGGTCACTCAGGCTGTGTGTTTGCTGATCAAGCTGAGTGCCTGTCACTGATACAGGCATTGGGAGTGATTTCTGGGTGAATTCCTGCCTCCCTAAGGCAGTAGGAGGGGTCTGCAGGTCCCTCCAAGGCAGGGGGGTCCCTCCAAGGCCCTGCTGGGAGGATGCAAACAGGATTTCTCCCTCCAGGGCTGTCAACTCAGCACCAAATTCGCTTAGAGCGAAATGGCGGCTAAGCCAGTGCAGGCATCGGTGGCTGTGAGCGTGCGGGTGCCAAGGCAGTTAGGGGAACTGCGCGTGGATTTCATTTCCTCTGGTTATATGTAGATGCAAGCAATTCCAGCAAGAGGCAAGGAATACTAAATTGGCATCGTTTTCATTACTGCCGCGAGAGCAGGTTGTGTCCAGTGGGATTCCAGCGCGCTGGCCTTTCTTTAACCTTTCTGCTCCAGCTGCCTTGTCATTTAGGAGAGGGAGTGTTACTGTCTCTGCCACGTACAGCAGGGGATCGTGGTTCTGGTTGCGGGGGAAGGAGGTGGAAGCTAGGGCGGAGGGAGGAAATGGAAAGAGGCTGATTGCGTGAGAGAAGAAGAGGCAGAGGAAGAGAAATGGTGGAAAGGACGAAGAAAGAGGGAATGAGAGAGCAGAGGAGGAGAGAGATATGGGGATGGTTAAACCAGTGCAATTTCTCGACATAGAGCAGGCCAGCAGATTGCACCTTCAGGCTGTGGAGGGAAGGGGGGGAAAGATTGTTCTGTTCCTTTTTATGAACGCTTGAGACCATCCACTATTGAGATGGTTAGCTAGGTAGATCGACAGATGATGGGTGTGAAGCATGGGGACAGAAGTGTGTACATGGGGTTGGATGGATGGATGGATCCACATGAAGGGAGTTAGTTAGCTGCTGAACGGCAAACTGAGGCAGTGCGAAAGGTAAGACCCTGAATTCCCAGAAACAGGGTCTAAAGTTAGGCTCCTAAATCCACCTGGTTCTCAGGAGTGGGGACTGCTTTTGCTCGGCACTTTGAGAGTCAGGCAGGTGCCTTGCTTTGGCCAAAATCACTAGAAGCAAGCATCAGGAAAAGCAGCCTGGCACCATGCAGGAGGCTGCAGAGCCAGGACTCCTTGGCCCACCAAGCAGCTGGGTGTGACCAGGCTTGCAACAAGGGAAGAGACATCCTGGAGTGAGAAGCAAAAGCTGCTGTGATTAAGGGCATCTGATGTGGGGCTCACATAGTGTCCCTGCTTCTGAAGGAAGGTGATAAGGCCACATGTGCATGGAGTGCAAACTGGTCTCTGAGCTGGAGGAAAAGATGGAGGAGCCTGAAGGGTGGATTAAGTCACTGAAGGAACTAAGTCAGACAGTGCCTGACAAGAGAGACTGAGCAGGCTGAGACCCCAAATGGGAGAGGTGGAAAACAAAGGAAGATAAAGGATGTGGCATCCAGGAGGGCTAGAAGCTGCAGGAAGAGCGGACGGGACCCGAGTTGAGGCAGAGGTCCGACAGACAACAAAATCCTTCACTTTGATACCTGCGATGGCTAATCTACTCTAGTGGAGGATCACATGAATGGGGCCCAATGACCTGCAATCAAGAGGCAAGCACTGACAAGGGAGTCACCAGCCAGGAAGAGGCAAGTAGCCTGTGTCTGATGTCTTGGCAGAGTAGTGGATTGCAGGGAGGAGGGGTATTGTGGGCACCCCAGGAATCGATAGGGGGGTCTCATCTGGTTCATTAGTGATCCAGAAGAGGATACAAAGAGCACAGGCAGGTGTTATGGAATGAGGAGCTATTGTGAAGAGGGGAGAGGTGGTGAATAACTAGGAGGGTGGTGAAGCCCTGGAATGTGTTACCTAGGGAGGTGCTGGAATCTCCATCCTTAGAGGTTTTTAAGGCCCGGTTTGACAAAGCCCTGGCTGGGATGATTTAGTTGGGGATGGTCCTGCTTTGAGCAGGGGGTTGGACTAGATGACCTCCTGAGGTCCCTTCCAACCCTAATGTTCGGTGAGTCTATGAATGATACAGAAGGACCTGGAGAGGTCAGAAATACGGACAGGAAGCAACGAGAGGACATTCACCTTGAGAAGATGTGGCTGAGAGCTCTGGGAAGGAGCAATCTGGAATCTCGCTATTGGATGGGAGAGGTTGGCCTTCTGGGGAGCCGTGATGCTGAAGAGACCTAGGGGTGGTAGCAGGCAGTACGTTAGGTATGAGTTTGCAATGTGATGTGACTGGTAAAACTTTTGCAGACTGATACCATGCCATGAAACCAGGCAGCAACTGATCCTCTTTATCCAATGCTAGTGCAGCCCCAGCTTTCCAGAAAGGCATTGACAGACGGAAGAGTACCCAGAGAAAAGTGACAGAAATGGCCAGGGGCTAGAGAGGAGCGTTCCAAAGGGAAGTGTGTACTGCTGGGCTAAGTGCCATAGAAGGGAGACATGAACCGCAGGAGGGAGAGGAATTACTGATGGTGGAGCAAGGGGTGTTACTAGGAGTCAGGGGCTGAAAGCTAAAAAGGGCCCACTTGATTATTTGTATTCCAGTAGCTCCTAAAGGCTGCAACTGAGCTGGGGGCCCCATTGTGCTGAGCACTGCACAGACTCAGAGGGAGACAGCCCTGGCCCTGAAGAGCTCACCAGAGTGGGAACAGAGGTACAGAGAGCCGAGTGAGTCGCCCAAGGTCACTAGCAGGTCAGTGGTAGAGTGGGGAATAGAACAGAATCCAAGCCTCGTGACTCCAGATCCAGTCCTTACCTGGGAGAGCGCATTGCGTGTCCGGGATGGATGTCAGCAAAAACGTCCTGAGAGGGAGATGCATTGATTTCCCAAAGGAAAATAGAGGGAATCCTGTCACTGGGAACATAACAAACTAGACTGGACTAAGCAATGGAAAATCTACTGCAGGGAACATCCCGCACTGACGGGATGGACTGGATGACAGAATAGGTCTATTTCCTCTCCGGTTTCCATGGATGAAATTTATCCCCTGATAAGTTGATGTCAGTACAATCAGACCAAATATTATCTATCTGTCTGTCTGTCTAATACTGGTGTCACTGCTGTAACTGAGTGCTGGCATGGACGAGGAGGTGGGTGAAGAAGGGAGATGGTAGAAGGAGGCTGCGTCTGTGCCCTGGATGATTTTGCTTTCAGACTGCAGGGGTTGGGTTGTGCTATGGCCAAGGTAGCCATGCGAGGAGATTCGGGATGTTTGGGCTTTTTGTTTCTCCTTAGGCTTCAGGCCCTGCAAGTTTCTGGGCTTCTTTGTGCTCCCCCCGGACGGGGCTGGCTGGTTGCCATTGCTAAGGAGAGTGTGCAGAGTGCTGTCAGGGCATAGGCAAGGCTGGCTGGCTGGCTCTCTGGCTAGAGCTGTTGGCTAGGGACCATGAGAAGCATTGTCTGTGGTATCACGCGTGATGCATGCATGGTGATGGAAAGACTCTCCCCAGCTGGACCAGGCAGGTCTAATGGTCAGCCACTTCCTTGCAGGCACAAAGCTGCTCAAAGGCAGAAGCCCACAGTGCTTTACAAGCAAATGTTCAGCACCGTCAGTAGCAAGGAGCAGTGCTTCGTCACCTCCCCCCTCCTCCCCCAAGCTTGGGTCATATCCCAGCCTCCTCTCTTGGGGAGGTCCTTGCGGGGGAGGGACTCGCCATCCCTTCCTAACCTGGGTGATATTTTTCACAGCATCCTGACTGCAGCCCACAGGTTAAAGAACTTCCTGCACCCTGTGCAAAGTGCTGGCCCCCTTTTCCCAGACGCTCCATTCCAGAACACAAGTGGGGAGGGAGCATCTCCAGCAGTAAAGCTCAGGGAGGTGATGACGCTCGCGGTGCGGTCGTGATATACGCAGTGCTGCTCTCGCGGCTTGTCCTTAGCGCAGAGAGCTGCCGGTTCACTCCAGTCCCCAGCAGCGTCTGTGTTACCCACATCCTGCCGGTCTCTTGCTGTGGGGCTGTGATTTACCTTTCCTCCCCACGGCAGCCATTGTACCACTGGAGTAGTTCAGAATCACGCCACGGCAGGAAAGGATCGAGGCACTCGGTATTTTTTAGATTCCAGTAGCACCTAGAGACCCAGCCAGGATCAGGGCCCTGTTGTGCTAGGTGCTGAAAGGACCATGTTAATTCAGTCCTAGGCTCCAGGCATTTATGTTTCAAGTACATAAATATTGTTACGAGGAGGAGGGGGAAGAATTGTTCTCCTGAACCTCTGAGGATAACCTCTGAGAAGAAGCAATGGGCTTAAATTGCAGCAAGGGAGGTTGAGGTTGGACATTAGGAAAAACTTCCCGTCAGGGTGGCGAAACACTGGAATAAATTGCCTAGGGAGGTTGTGGAATCTCCATCATTGGGGATTCTGAAGAGCAGGTTAGACAAACACCTGTCAGGGATGGCCTAGATAATACTTAGTCCTGCCGTGAGGGCAGGGGACAGGACTAGATGACCTCTCGAGGTCCCTTCCAGTCCTATGACTCTATGATGATTCTATGATCTCTGCTTAAAGCCCCTGTTCTGGTGTTTCCCCCCCATGCTGCTCTGCCAACACTCCTTAACGTGAACCTGCTGTCCCAATCCTGTGTCCTCCCCCAGCTCTTCCAATGGCACTGACTGCTGAGGTGCAGCACCCCCTGCTGGTTTGCTCCCTGCCCTGAGGCGCTTAATGTATAAACAGACAGGTGTGATCCTCTGTTTCACAGATGGTGAACTGAGGTCTTAGAGCCAGATTTGCAAAGGTATTTAGGTGCCTAAGTATCTTTGCAAATCCAGC